AATACACTTTAATGTTCAATGATAGAAATTGTTTAAATATTTTGCAGAAACTTAACTAAATCTATGTGAAAGATGAACATGCCAATATAGAATAAATAAACAGAATACAAATTTAAAATTAGATCCCCCATGAAAAATAAAAACATTTTTTTTTTGTTGATAGGCACAGAATTTGAAAAAAAAAATATCTGCTTCCAGAAGTTATTTTGCAAAGGTATGAGGCGGAACAATCATATTTATACAGAAACCAATGCGCGAAACAAAAAGCGAATGTGGTGTCAATCTGTAGAGGAAAGCAGTAATGAAGCGATAAAAGGCTGAGATATTGGCATCCAGAAAGCTAAGGTCAGAGTACTAGAAACCATATTTATATTAAATCAACTGGTCAGAGGAAAGGGAAAACAAACGTACCGCCCTTTATAAAGTTTTGGTTTATTTAACTATGGCAAAGCACGCAAGAGCTATCTGGTTAATGTAAGATACCTTCGTGTAGGACATTTTAAGGGAAACTGGCTCGTATACACGTCACACATGCGGTAAACCACGAAACCTCTCAGGCCTGGAATCGAAACTACGTCGAAACTGCCAGTGTTCAGCGACTTTACCGCTGGACCTCTGATAGGCACCTTCTAAACAGGAAAGCAGTTATCAAATATGACAGATAGTAGTTTGAAAGCATTGAAAAAGCTGCATTTGATATTAATGTCATTAATTAATGAAAGTAATGTTTTGTAAATGAAATATTAAGAAAATTTCCGTCACCAACTGAAGCAGCTTTTTAGGTAACGTTTAGGCAGAACAAAAATCAAAATTGTGGTTAACTATGATTATTGTTCGAAATACGTTTATTTATAATTTATGAGCACATGACTTCTTTCATTCAAGCAAAATTTTAATTCTCTGTTAGCTTTGCCAACATCTGTCCAACTAGATTGACAAGATATGTTATAGTCCCCAAGAAATGTGAAGTAAAAGAACCGAATAACGAATTTTCATAACTTTTGGAAACATTGCTTGAAAGTGCTTGCGCTTATTCCGAGCATAAGTTGATTATGATACATTATGAGTATTACAATGGCAAGTGAAATTCTATCATATTAGCTTCCTATATTTTATTATTGTTTTCCTGGACAGAGAGCGTTAAGCACTTTTTCTCTGCTCCTCCGAGTGACTTTGCTGTAAATATGATTGCTATACTTGCCACCTTAAAGAATATATTTGCTGAAGGACTTGCTGCTGAGTATCTTAAAATTAATATAGTTTTACTTTAATCTACACCAATCTAAGTTTGCTATTTTATCTAATTTTGAAAACCGTGCATATATATATTCGACTTGCAGAACTTAATTTTTGTTATTAAAGAGAATATTCATTTCTGACTTTAATAATGTTATGTAATGTACATTTATAATGTTACGTTTGTTGAAGATGAAACTTTTTTTCAGGACGACTAACTGTAATGTTCTTATTTTAAAATGAATTTTCAGCAAATGTCCTTTGGCGTAAAAACATCAATCTGCATTTTATATGTCAGATACATTTTCAGAAATAAGATTTTTCAAGGAAAATTGCTTTGGTGCTTCAGAAATTTAAATTTCATTCCCTCCTTACTTTTATGAGCAACAGCGGTAGGGAAAAATAATAAACAAATGTGAAATCATTTTATTCAAACTCAAACTAGCACCCATCCTCATTTGTTCAAGTTTTATGCCTTGAAGTATTGTCGAATATCGATTTTTTCCTCTCTTCCTAATAGCAACGCAATATTTGTTACAGTGAAATCAAACCTTCGGTACAATATTTCAGATCTAGCTGCATAAGAAATATGCATTTGCAATCGCATGTTCATGCAGTTTCATCGAGTACGCTGTTAAGCATACTAACCGAATAGGAAGAAAGTTTATTTCAAATTTCTGCCTTTGTTTCGAGCATTTACATAAAATATTATTATGGGATTTTATTGATCATTTCGGTATGCGTGTTATCATAGTATGAAGTGAATGAGTATATATATGACAATTCTTGAGTAATCTATATCATTATACAGTGACCTAAACATATTCAACAAAAATGTAAAGGCAGATAGAAGTAGCCGAAATAACCAGATATTGCAGTAGAATGTTCGGGTAGACACTGCGTCTACAGGTGATAGACGGTACTGTTGAATGGTAGATAAACGTGTTTTTGCTGTCGTAAATTGCCATTCTCCGTGCGGTTTCGTGCGAAATATATCGCTGTATGAAATTGGAGATTATCGATATGCGTTTAATCTATGGAACTGCAAGCGGAAAGGAGCAGCTACTTAAAATATGTATTTGAGAATCATTTTCAACAGCTGCTTCATTTTGAAAGCAGCTCCATAGCTAAAATGCACTGTCGGTGACCTTTTCATACATACCCCTCAGGAATGAATATTTACGGAGACGAATATTTTTAACCATCACCCGACAGCAGCCGATACACCAGCAACACTCCCTTCCTACTCACACATGACATTACTTTGTTTACTTCGATTTATTTACATTTTTGCCACATAGTTTTAAATCACCCTATATGAATACAATACGATTCATAGATTACGTAAAATATATACGGTACACATCATGTACTAAGTGTAGTTTTATGTACTGAAAACTGTATATTAACATTTGCCTGGCGTTAAAGGTTTAATTAGGTTAGCGAAAAACAATTTGGAGCATTTTCCTAATGGATGCCTTCGTGGAGGAAGTTTTAAGGATACTCGCTCGTATCCCTGTTAAACATGAGAAAAAACACGAAAAACAAACTTGCAGAGAGCCTAATCGCCGGGATTTAATTCCATGTCAAAGTATCAGTGGCTAGCGTTACAAATCAGGAAGAAACTGTTGATGTGGCGGTCTTTCTAAGATACTTTGAATATAATAAATTATTACTTTACGTCAATAAAAATAACAAGAAGATTAGCTTGTTTTAGCCTAAGATAATAGATAGATGCTAATTTTTGTTCTACGCATATAAAAATACGCTATTTCTTTGTTGATATCCTAAGGAGAGAAACTACAATTGGTCATTTGATTTTAAAGTCACAAAAATGTACCTTATACTAATTATTTTATTTCAGTATGAAATGAAACGCATACTATTAAATAAACGCATGGGTATATAGGAAATTAGAGAAACTATTTTGTAGTTTAATTTAGTTGAAAATGTTTGTTTTGTTGCAAGGAGTCAAAGACAGTTTTGTTCGTTAACTGGTTAATCATTGTTGAAATGAACTACAATAAACAAATAAATAAATAAGAGTTTGTCGTTTGCATTCCAGTAAATACAGTGATTAAAATAACTATTGCAGAAAGGAAATTTTTAACGTTCAAAAAAAATTATATAGTTATTGTTGCAAATGTATTATTATAAATAAAACAAAATTTAATAAACAAATAAAAAATATAAATTCTGAAAACATTTAGATTTGATATTACTCCCAAAGGGGCGTTCTTTTAAAGTTTTGTGTGTTACCTTTATTTATTAAATATCATGTTCTTCGCGCTTAAACCACAAAATTCACTTCAACAGCCGTATCGCAAAATAATTTTAAAAAAGCATATCATTAGAATTTCCGATGCACAGTCTCGCGCGCTGGAGATATTTTTTTTCTAAATAGTTGAGTTACTTAATCAAAAATTCATAAATGCTTTATAAGACAACAAATAGATAATAAAACAAATTCCAAATTTGGGCTTTTAGATTTCAGATGCCCATACTCGGGTTGAGATAGATGTACGTTATTCAAAATTTGATGGTTCTAGGTACGGTTGTTTAATCGCAAAGCTAGAAATATAGAGACATTTATCCAGATTCTTCATTATTTAATTTGTTTAAATATAATACAGGGCGATAATATTTGGCAACAATTTGAAAAGTGACTCAGACTTTTAAAGTTTTCGAATGCCAAAAGATAATTTCGTTTTGGTTCTTTTGGGCTAATAAATGAGATACTGTAAGTGTCTTGGAATTAAATTTTTAAGCGCCATATCAGTTAATTGGGTTCGTTTTTTCGCTTTGGAAATTATACTAATGTCGTTTTGGCCCTTGTGTCAGTCTGTGTGTAACGGTATACTTCTCTTCAGGCTGTATCCATCTCTATTGGCTAATGGTATAGATTTTAAAAATTATACTCTTCTGCCAAATAGTATACTGTCGAATTCTAGATAGATCTCCGGCCGCCAGAAAACGCCCATTAGCGGTCAAGGCTGAAAATCGGTAGTTTGACTTCTGTTCGTTGCAATGCAAAGGGGCGGGCAACATAGGCGTCTTCGTGATTTACCCCATGTTTAACGTAGATGTGAGCCAGCTTCCCGTAGAAAATCTTCCACGAAGTGTACTTTGTCTTGGGCAGATAGCCATCGTATGCTTTGCCATAGAATCAAATAAACAAAAACAAAACAAATTGACTGCCATCATATCGTAATAGCAGATATCGCACGAGAGGAAGCAAAAGCAAGCTTGACGCTTAATTTGTCAAATACGAAGTGTACGGAGTCAGTATAGGAATAACCAGAATATGGAATAATTTCTGATAACATTTGCTTGTAAAGCATACGGAGAAATGATCTTAAACTTGTAAAAGGTAAAATTGAGAAGCTAGGTTGTTAATACACCTCGAAAAGTTCTGCGATTCGCTTTGATGTAAAGAAAGCATTTCGAGAAATTTTTTATTGAAATCATGGAAACTCTGAGAGAATAATAGAAAAATGATTGAATACAAATAAGTTCATAAATTATAACTTCAAAGTACAGTAAAACAAATTTGATTCAAAACAAACCACAATATGGCACTCAAGGGAAGAAAGCGCTTTTAAAAATATTACTTGGAACCCTAAGATCAGAGTAGCCAAACACGTTTGAGAAGTTCAAAAATGTTTGAGAAGTTCAAAAATGTTAAGCAAGTCTGCCAACGTGGAAACAGTTAAGAATATTTTAATGAAACAAATCTTTCATGGCGGATAAGTTAAAATAAAAAAATCACTTCATAGTAAAGGGAATTGAAGAACAGCATAACATCTCTCTATGACTTTTAAGAAAAAGTTTAAAAATTTATATTTTCATATGAAAACAAATTCAAAACTTTATACAGTGATACTTTATCAATACTTTTGATTAAAAAAACCTAATGGTTAAAACCCTAATACTGAACTTTAAATGAATATGACTTCTTCTCTATTGCATATCAGAGTTACCCAAATGGCAATCTGTATGAGTACTTGTAACTTTGGAAATATGTATTTTATTAATAGCAAAATACGTTCGAAAGAAAAACATTAATTATAATTGAAAGGTGTATAAGTATGCATTAATGTATACATGCAGAATGCTCAAAAAATATAATTGAAACAAAACAAAACAAAAAAAAAATCTTTGCAAAGAGCGAATTTCAGGGAGAGTTGAAAACAAGAGAACCTTCTTAGTCAAAACAATATCTTTAAATAAAGTACGATTAAAACGTTAATGGAAATTTAAATTGAACAACTGTCAAATTTGCATTCGAAATATTAAAAAGCAAATTATTTAATAAAGTAAAATAAAATCATTCCTGTATGGGATGCGAACTACTTATTCATATTACAAACATTATTCTACAATCACCTAACGTAAACGTGTCGTATACTTTTTTCTTCTCATTATTACCCAGATTTTAAGGAATATATTTTGCAGCATGTCAAAATATTAATTAGATACACGGATACTTGCGTAATAAACTTGGAAGCTAATTAGTGGTACTTCATGAATTTACGACGACATTTGATATTAAAATTAAATCAATAAAGCTCCTGTTTTGATAATATATTTAATTAGATTTAATTTGCAATTTAATCTTAATTTTTTACGTGAGAAGTGGTATTAATTTTACAACAACCTTTTGATTTTAATCTTAATCACCTTAAATTCTATAAAGAAATTCATTTAGAATTAAAGATGTCGAAATAAAATTTAAATAATTGCTGAGAGTTATTAATAATGTTTTCTGGTTAGAGATTAATATTCTATGTGAGGAATATAGAATATTTTTCTAATTAAGATATATTTAATCATGAAATGATGCTTTCACATATCCGTATTTTATACATTCATTGCAGTTCTGAGAAGTACCCCATTCTAGATTTTCAGTTTAAGCATATTGATTAGAGTTATGGCAATAATGTAAGCTATATAACTCAGCGTAAGTTAGTTACTCTAACGTGATAATGATCAGTTATCACTGATGGATAAAAATGGCCCATTTCACTAAGAAACAATTCATTGGCATACTTCGAGAAGACGGAGTACATGAAATCAAAATTTTTCTAAAAAGTACACCATACACACAGAGTAGAATTTATTCCCTGCTTTCTGCTAATTTTTTCATCTCCACCCCAAAAGAAAAAAAAATAAATAAATAAAAAATAAAATAAAAATAAAAAAATAAAACATAATAATAACTAAAAAAACATACGAACTTCATAATAATCTTGCAAATGTGTATACATATCTCTTTATGAGATATATTAATTGAGTGATCCTGCATCTGGTATTGTATTAAAAGGGGAATAGCATATTGAAATCGTTCCTTTTAATTACGCGTTGTCTTATTTAAAAACAACTAAACACTACCTTAAGTTTACTGAAAATTTTAAATCTTTATAAAATATTATGCCAAATCCAATATTGCAGTGTGTCTACAAAAGTCTCGAGTTTCGATTTTCACCTGTATTGTGCAATTTTAAAATAATTCAGTTTTTAATATGCAGTTCGAATACATTATTTAGCCGAGAGGATCGCAGCTTTGGGTATGGACTGGGATACATATGGACTGGGATTTTTAATCACGGAGATACTGTTTATATAAATCGGAAGCTTGCTTTTCTCTTATGCTTTTTGTTAGTTCGATTCTTATCCTATCTTAACGTAAATGAACTATCAGTTTTAATGCGATTCACATGTGAATCATTTTAAGTTATGTTTATTTTGTGACTCTGAGGTGTAATTATTTCTGTTTTCCAACAGAAGTTACAGATTTATTGGAAATGCAAAGTGGTTATATTAAGATGCTGTCCAAACGCTTTCTAAATCCTATGGTGTCTTCGTGATCATCATCAAGTTGCATGATATATTGGTCAGATCGTACAAGCCAAAATTTATATGTCCACTGGAAAAGTTTTCTCATTACGTATTACCACGAAGACGAAAATTAACTTAACCTACGATCAGCTTCGTGAAAGAAGAGGTCAGACATTACAGGATTCGCCATTTTGAAGGATAATGTTCGGAACAAAGTAAAACGGTTTATTGGTTGGTGGAAAGAGCTCAAAACTACTTTCCCATCTCTCATATCCACCACATGATTTCTAACATGAAGGAAACACTTCATGAAAACCTTTCGAAACTGTTATAGAGATTCATCAGGCAAAGGACAATACCTTTCGAAGCATCCACAACACAGGCGCTGTTTTGTTTGTTTCGAAATATCAATAGATATACCACGACTTCTCCATCACTGTCTACGTGTTTAACAATGCTGGCAGCACAGTAAACTGAACAAATGACGAAAAATGTTTTACAAAAGTGTCTTTTGCCAATTATAAATACATAGGTGAAATTATTCAAGTTCCCATAAGTTAAAATATCATTTATAATATTACTAAGTCGTAAGTTTAATGTAGACTGATGGACGTGACTGCCACATACCCAGCTGTTCTATACTGTTTACAGGTCATATGCAAATACGAGAAATGTCACTTTATAAATCAAAGTTGTTAAAATGCTTCGAGCGTTTGAGAAAGTATAACAGACGTTTATTAAATTTGTTTAATATGTCGCGTTTTAATAATTTTAAAAATTGCTGTTAAATATATCAAAACAAAAGCATGCAGTTGAGCATTGGAGTCTCCTTTAATAAGATTAAGAAAACTGTTTCCATCATGAAAATATACGGATTATACAATCTTTCGCCATTTCGTTCCTAAACAATTCATCTTATTAGGTATTACATAGTTTCTCATAGACTTTAAACTACATTAGATGTTGTATAAGTGCAGCAACATGTTCTTTAACCGTTATGTGAATGTGAGCACGTGAATGATTACATACAAAATATCTAATCAATTTTATACCTGAATCTTAAATAAAATGAGCCTTTAAACAACGCTAGGTGATAAGTAACCAAATTTTGGTGTAAATTACAGGAATACTGCATCACAATTTCTCTAAAGCTGTTGTGCAGCTTCTTAAGAAATTGATTTATAGCAAGAAGAGGATTAAAAAAAATGTTTTTTTCTCATTTTTTACCAACCAATTAAGAAGTTGTCTGCCCGCATTAATTATATTACACACTTTATTAGCGCACGTTTTTCGAAAGCCTATTCACAATAAAAAGAAAATTATAGCTTTTAATTTACAAATGACGTAGAACGTTGGGAAACTGCCTGCCGGTTTTAAGTTGAAGGATTACTCTTTTACACTTCTTACTAATTCTTTCAAAAAGAACTTATTACATTCTTTATACTTAGGGAAAAGAAAATAATTCAGAACTTTGTCTTTTACTTTAAATGTCAGCACAAGTGTTTAAATAACATTTTCCAAATTTACAACGTTTAGAAATGATTTCATCATAAGACCCTTTTCCAGAAATCTTCAACAAATTTTCTTGAAAATAATGCACCTTCAGTTGAGTCCTTAAAAAAGAAAAATAATCTGTAAAATTGTCAGGGCTATTCAACATAGCATAAACTCGTTCCATAAAATGCTTTAAATGCTTTTGAATGAGCACACCGATTAAAAATCATGAATGGCAACATCTATTTGAGCACAATTCACAACGTATAGAATACACCACATTATTCACAACAATATGCTTTCCATTCAAATAAATCTGAAAGTTTTGTATGTTGTACCAAAGTGGCATCTAGCACTCATAAAACGTGTAATCTTTAATGAACTCATTCTGTTTATCAACAATTGTCACTCGATCTGCTTTCTGGAATCCTATGTAACATATCCCATAGACAAATTTTATCTTCTCTGAAAGTTAAATTGCAATTTTATTTACAATATGTTACTTATTATTATTGTTTTCGCACCACTGTTTTATGCTGAAGACTTTTCAGGCTTGTTATGAATTCAGAACCTCACAGACAGTAAGTTTAACCATTAACTAATGTTGGACATTGCCGGACAAGGAACATTAGTGCTGGATCCCCAAGATATCGTCTAGTGCAAATCAGGAATTCTTGACAACAATTGTGGAACATCGACATTTGCTTCCCGCTTCTTCATCTGAAAAACCATTCGAAGAAAATAATTCATCTGAAGTCTTAATCACAAGAAATCACACATTTAATGGCACGTATTCAATGATCAGGACACAATGCGTCCAGAAGAGTGGAAGATCAGATCGAAGATGACAACGGAAGATGTAACGGCAATCGACAGGAGATGATGGAAGACCGAGAACTGTCTCGGACAACCGTTGAAGGTGGAAGACAGAACACTGCTACCATCGACAACAGTTTCGGCCACTAAGCCTTTAGTCCTCTGTACTTGAGTCTCAGTAAAATTGCTGAAGCCGATGGCATTTCTTGCGCTTACACGTACAGCATATTCAGTGTCGAAATTCAGATCCTGGATGACGAACTCGTTACCTAAATAAAATATCTAGACTCAGAAACAAATATTCTAATGTGATTAGTAAACAACAAAGTGAAATATTAAATCATGACCTCATGAAGTATATTTTAATGCAAATAGAATAAAAAATAAAAGATATAAAAATTACATAAAGGGAGGAAAGAAAACACTATATATCCCGAAAACATATGACAGTATATTAATTCATTTCTGTATATTTTGTTCTTGTACAAGCCTTCAGTACAATACAAATTACTTTGAATTTAAATGGCAAGAGAAATTTTAATTTATGGAGAATATTCCAGCTGTCAATAGAATACTATTTTAGCCTGACACAAAAAGCAGTCCATCTAACCAACCTGTGGAATGAATGGACTGCTGATGCTTAATTTAAAAGTGAAAGTTAGATTCTGTAATTTACTGCCCTACAGCACAAGTACAGGTGTCTAGTATTCACTAATTCGTAGTTATACTACAACATGTAATTTTAATAAACAATCATTTTAGCAAAGCTTTGTTACTGTAGTTAGACTTCGATTTAGTTTCAAAAGTGATAATTCGTCAGAATTTGAGAGGGTTAAGGGATTCAGTAATTACATTTATCCTTACTGTAAAACGTTTTTGACAATAGATAAATAAATAACCTTTCATAAATAACCCTTTTCACAAATTTTCTTATCCTTAGTAAAGAAAATCATACACGTCTTATGTTTGAGAGCGATGCCATCTGTCATGAATATTTTCTAATGAACAAAAGATATCTATATCTATACATACTTAGTGTTGGTTTTTAATTCAATTTAAAAATATAACATAAAAATAATGCAAGAAAATATATATTTAAAATAAAATTATGAATTTAAATTTAGATTAAATAGATTATTAACATTTTATTATATCAAAGCGTTTTATATTTATTCACAATCTTAGAGTATTTGTCTAAAAGGAGATAGAAAGAAGGGAATATTTGTCAAAGAAAATTAAATTGTGGAGTAATATTGAAACAGAATAAAGGAATTTAAAGCATGCACAGGTTCTTTATGACTCTTATTTGTAATCAGATTCTTATCTTTTTACGAATTTTCAAACATAAAAGAAGACATAATTCCGCAATCTGCAGTTTAAAGATCTTGGCCCTTTAAAATGTCTTTGCATGAAGAATATGGAATTATCACTGCACTAGACTTCAGTATGCAACGTCAATTTAACACGTTTATTTTTATGATAGATGTTTACTGCAACTTGCATTTCTTCCATCCGCCATGCTAATTAAATAGAATCTGACTAGCGAGCAAATGCATAGTTGAAGGAAATAGGCTTGGCAACGCAATCAATGCAGTTTATTTCGTAAGCCGTCCGATTCCCGATCTGATTTTCGTAAATGATTTCTCGTATCTGCTAGCACTTAGGCTCAGAAGTCTCGGATAGCTGAAGCGGGGTTACTTAGACATTAGAACTATTTGCTGTTACCATTATATTGTTACGTACTTTTCTTCTTCACGTTCGTACGGGATTCGTAGATTTGGAGTGAATAACGATGACATTTGATGAAGTGTCGAAACGCAATTTATTGGACAGTGTTATTCAAGATAACTCCAAATTCCCGTTTACAGTCGTCGAAGAACTCCTATAAACACGCTGAAACGATCAGCGACACAGCCTTCACAATATCAGACTATAACGGTAAAGACGGCTTCACGGCAGAGTACAGCTCCTGACTCTGTTCGCTCGTTCTTGGAACTCTATGTACTCTCGAGAGTATGCACGCTACGACTCGCGATGCAGTCGACGATACACAAGCGTACATCTCCCGACTGGATTCAGTCATTCCCGGAGCTCAACACACTCTAAGATAAAACTCGACCATGCACTTACTCGCTGTACAGTAAGAGACTCTCTCCGTGCCCTCGATGACCAACTCGGCACTAGGCTAGGCACTCACTGACTGACTATGAACTCAATGGACTCGACACTGATTGACTATCAACTCGCTAGACGAGACACTAACTGACTTTCCGCATACCATCAGGGTTTATATAGCTTTTAGCTTGTGTTCGAGAACATTCTGGGCTAAACCAGTAAGAATTAGTTCTAGAAGTTTCTCCATCTCTCTATGGCATATCGCCAATAGTTTCGCCAAATAGTTGATGTCTCGCCAAATGTGGCAAACCTGCATCCCCTTGCCCTTTTCTGGCAACCCTAAACCTGCTTTCCGGGGGAAGCTATCTTACTGCTCCTGGACATTTCGTAACAATATCTTTATGTTTCTATGATAAAGAAAGTACAGATAAATGAGTTTTGTTAAATTTTAGCTGTACTTGAAATACATAGTAATACAACATTTTTTGTCTACTTTTATACCTTGTCTATGCTTGCTTAAATTCTAGTTCTAGAGAAAACAAGAATTTGTCTGAAGCAAAGAAAGGTTAAGAAGATGTGGTATTAATAGTTAACTAAATTTAACTTAACGATATGAACTTTTATAATGGAGATTAAAAAAAATCTTTAATATTGCTGTAATACTTATAAAGGCTCAGTTTTGCAAGATATTTCAAGAACTTACCTGCGTATATAAGATTTTTTATAACTGCAAATACCTAAGCATCTTGTAATAAAATGTGATTCAATCGATATGTACCAGAAAGTAACTAACTAAGTTAGAAAATTTAATAGTTTAATTGAAGTTATAAGTAGAAAAAGTTTGAAAATTTAATGTAAAACAAATAAATAAGAAATACAGTTTTTCGCTATTAATATATATTTTTGACTCTTAATTTATAGGAAGGCTTGGTGTTATTAGAAAAAGGGCTTTCAAACTTCTTTCATTTTTGTTACTCGCATTGGTTTGAAACTTTTTCCAACTCCTATAGCAAATAAACCAAAAAAATTTCCCATCTGTAAACAACTCCGGCTTGCTAAACCAGAAACTTGTATCTCTTACCTTTGCTCGTGAGATACTCTCTGGCGTGCTTCCACAAGTCTGTTATTTGCTTCCATTTTATTTTGTACCCTGTTAGAGGAAGTGAATCGTACGGCGATTGAAATATCTTGACAACCAAAATTCCAGGCTCTTCGCTCGATAATGTGAAGGTTGGAGGATTAGGAAGTACTGTAAAGGGAAAGAAACACTTTTCAGAAATTTGAAAAATACATTTATTTACGTCTGCATGCGATTGAAGTTTAGCTTTGTCAATACATTTTGTAATGAATATGTACTTTATACATCACATTAACAGTAAAAATTTATTCATATACCATATGCTATTTTTACGATGCGTGACTTATTCTAAATTTACTTTGCGAAACTATTAATATTAAACGTGTTGCTTTGTAAATTCTATGCATTTAGCTTGCATTGTATATGAGCTTTGTTATTGTTCAATGGAAGCAATTTTATATTTGTAATCGTTAACATTGAGCATTAATCCACGAAAGTCTGTGAAAAGTGAATATCTTAGTACTTATCTAAAGAACATTATACAGCATTCGTTCGAACAAAGCAATTTATATTATATACCACTTTCATAACGTTTTTTACCATATTTATTTTAAAGATTAATTTTAGGACAATTCATTGAATAGGTATAAAACAACAATGTCCGTGGAAAGGTAATAAATATATTCTTTTGCTGTAATAATTAAGCTATTAAAACACAAGTATTTAAGGCTGTGGCATAATTGAGGAGAACTCAATTGTAATATTGCTCCCTCAGACAAATTTGGAGATAATTATAATACTATCAGCAAATACGACGGTTTTTATTACAGACTCATAATGAGAGTCTAGCTGAGTGGTTTAGATTATACACTAAAAATCCAAATTAGGGTTTGCGAACTAATGAAAATTATGCTACATATTCTAAAGAAAAATCATACAGCTATTCAATAAACAGAGATGTGAATACAATTTTGCAGATAATTACTACTTTTAAAAACTTGTCTGATCATGTAAAAACTAAATATATTTTAATGATTCCTCATATTAATCTTGCTTATTAATAATTAATATCATTATCCATTGTAAATTTTAAAACAGTAACGCAGTAATATTTGAATAGTAAGTTAATATTTCTCTTAACTTTAGTCAATGGAATGTATCTTAGGAATAATGAAAAATAATTTCGAATATAGTTCGAGAAAATTTTAAATTATTGTTTTTTCACAGCAAAAGAAGTAATATAATATTATTATGTTATGTTTACAGGCATGCAATCTGTAAGTTATATCATGAAGTTAAAACGTTAGGCTTATGTGGAAGAAATACACAAAAAGAACAAGATTAAAATAATATCTAAAACATTACCTAGTCTGATGTATTATGCTCGTGGAATGATTTTATATAGAAAAATAGATGTTTCTAGTTTCGGTGAGTATTTTAATATCTATTATAAGTATTTTCTCAGAGTTTGTAGTCTAAAAGCTAACCATTCGTTACTTTTTTGGGTTTATGTATGAATTTTACATTACATCTTTAAGCTAAGTTTTTTCTGGAGCTGTTCATCTAAGTTTCATTAAAATATTATAATTCATGCGAATAATTTATTCGACTTACCTCCTTCTAGCAATGACATTTCTCTTTGTATTTCGCCAATAGTGTTGCTCACGAGGCATACATATATTCCAAAGCTCGAATGATCTTTTATCTTTACCTGAAAGAAGCAGATTTGTGCATCAAATTCCCATTCAGCACATTACTATTTACAAGCCAAAAAACGAGATTATTTTCCAACGATATATTTATATAAATAAAGCATTACTGCTTTAATTACTTAACTCGAATTGCAGATTATTGTTTTAACATACATGTGTCAATTTATCGTCTTTTATAAAACTAAAAAATCTGATGTGTACACCACATGACTTCCTTGTACGGAATATTAAATTATACGCATTTTTTCTTGCATTTCATTTAAACTTATTGGATTGAATTAAATCTACTTCGCCGACAGCGCATAAACCACAATAGAGTAAATGGTTCTTTAAAATTCACTCTATTTTGTTTACCATAGCGACACCCTGGCGCTAGTTTCACTTAACAATATTATATTTCGTTCATATTATAACTCAGATTGCACAAAATTTATATCATTTAAAGAATTATCTAACCGTTGCCACATGTTCTATTCAAATACTATAATAAAGCTAGTACGATGTATAAAAGAAATTAAGCAAACAAAACAAAACAGAAACAGTTTTTGACAGACGATTGAGACGATCATTCAATTAAATTAATTCAGTTGTCCCTTCGCGACAAGCCAAAAATACATAAAAATTCAAAATATCTGTATTAAAAATTACGAAGTAAATCTTAAACACTTTTTCCTCGAAAATATTCCAGAAAGGATTAAGCATGATTTAATTCGCAATAATAAATGAAGGCGTTATCTTTGTTGTTGCGAAGCTAAGTTTTTCTAGATTGCCAACAAATCCACTACTATGCTGTTTCAAATGTAAATAAGCAATGGCTGCCACCAAAAAATTATTAGGCTTAGCGGCACTTAAACAACTATAATATTGTTGATAATTCTAAAAATATTGCATACGGATTTACTAAAGGCATAAAAACCTTAACCGGAAGATAAGAACAGCATAATTCAATAATTTTTAAAGCAAAAAATGTACAAATTACAAACATATAAAAGTAAAGAAACTGAGATCCCTGAGCCGGGTAGTAGAGTGGATATATATATAAATATATTTATATACTTTTGGTGCGGCCGATTGCAACCAAAATACGAGGTGCACATCTACATGTTATAGCAGCATGTTATAACATATTATTATACAGGGGTTGGAAAAAATATGGAAACACCTTTAAAAAAAACAAGTTTCTTTGCTTAATATGGTGTAGGAAACCCATTGGCATCCAAAACAGCTTGCAGTCTTCTCGGAATGGATAAATACAGTTCCTGTATGTTTGCCAAGGGAATACCATTCTTCCTGCAAAACGGTGGCAAGTTCAGATAACGATGTTGGCGGTGGATAACGAGAACGCACTTTCCGTTCTAATGTAGACCACAAAGGTTCGATAATATTTAGGTCTGGTGACTGTGGTGGCCAGGGGAGATGGGACAACTCATCCTCGTACTCAGAAAACCAATCCTGGACAATGTGAGCTGTGTGAACAGGGGCTTTGTCGTCTTGAAAGACACCATCACCATCGGGGAAGAAAGCTTGTACCATGAGATGAACGTGATCGGCCAAAATGTTCACATAAGTCTTGGCAATCATGTGCCCTGGCACAGTTATCATGGGGCTAGCAGAGAACCACGATATGGCTGCCCAAACCATAACAGAACCCCCGCCATGTTTCACTCTTGGCAACAAGCAATCTGTATTATAGGCTTGAGATGGCATTCTCCAGACGTAAACTCGGCCAGAAGTGGGAAACAATGTGAAAGAAGACTCGTCAGACCATATTACTCGCTTCCACTGCTCTATAGTCTAGGCTTTATGACTTAAACACCACCTTTTCCTGTTACGGGCACTAGCATCACTGATGAGTGGCTTCTCAATTGCAGCACGGCCAGCGATTCCCTGTTTATGAAGTTCCCTTCTAATTGTTTTGGTACTCACAGGGTTCGGTAACACAACATTCATTTCAGCAGTAACTTTTGCAGCTGCGGTCTTCTTATTTTTCGTCACAATTGCCCTTAATGATCGTCTGTCACGATCACTCAGCACACACTTTCGTCCGCGCTGTGATTTAGCAGATGATGTTTTTCCGCTTTTCAAATATGAGGAATAAATCTTCGATACAGTACCTCTTGAAACACTAACACCTCGGCTACCTTGCTTACGGGAAGCACTACCATACGTGCTCCAACAATTTGCCACGTTCGAAGTCTGTTGCTCTGAATAATGCAATGACAAACCTCACATAACAGTACTCCGACAACAAATGAACATTTAGCACATTTACGAAGTTGTATAGGTGGCGTCAATAGTCAAAAACGCCAGGCCACCTACATATTTCATTAAAATCAATCTTTCTTTCAAACCTGCATTTCGCAAGGTGTTTCCATATTTTTGTCCATGCACTGTATGTTATTATGGATATATACAAAAATTTCAACGTTCTGAGGCTACTCGTTTTTGAGTTATGCGAGATACGTACGTACATACGTTCGTACAGACGCCACGAAAAATTCTCTTCAGAATTCATTTTAAAGCAGTTTATTTATTATTATTTATTTATTTTTTGGTGGAAAAGTGTCTTTTATTCTGTTTTACGTGCAGATATCACGCAAAAACATCATTAAATTTCATTCGATAGCGGTCAAAATAGATATTTTCTTTGAAATATGCTGCCTGAAACTTTTCGTGATTACAATACTTCCTTTTTAGTTCGTACAAGGAAGTAATAAAAATGAAGCAGACGAACTCCTAAACAACAGCTGAGCTGACAGAAATTTATTGATGCTAAGCAACGATTATAAAGAAACTCGAACTTATCTATTTTGCAGAAAAATGCAATTGTTAAAAGAAATGAAACTATCGAATTAAAGCCTATAAAACATTTCTGTTTATATTTTTATTTCATATATTGTTACGGTTTTTGTATTTAGTTAGCTATTTTTAAATAGAATTAATTAAAATTGTTTTATATTACTGTGCAATGGAGTACGAGACTTTTTTGAAGAGAAAGCTACGACGAAAAAATTTAAAGTACAGGAGAACGCACAGTTAATAAATAGGTATATACTAATTGTACGCTTTTTCTTTTCGGGAAAAATCGAGAAAATACCATAATATTCTCGTGCACATTTAAAAAGCTTATAAAAAGCGAGAGGAAAACATCTCATTTCAGTTGTTTAGAAAACTTCTGTTGTTTACTACAGCGAATTCGCGATGAAATCGGATTAGCTTTCTCTATTTTGAATTAGTTCTGTGGAAAATTTTGCTAGTTTAAATTATAACTACTGCGAGATATTGCAATATTGTACGAATATCTGAGGAAATTTGAGCATTTTGTTTTTATTTGTTGTGATAAAAATAATTTTTATTTACTTTTCATCGGACTTGTGCATCCAAATTATTACGAACCCCTACGCCCGCAACAAAATTAAGGTTTTCTTCCTGTTATAGGTCGAAAAATCTTTATATAATAAATATTTGGATCTCCTTGGTATGCACGACGTTTCGTATCTAACATGGGAATGACGATATTCAGGTACTGTAAAATATTCAGAAACATATGCAGCCATTTATCGTGCAGAGCACCCTCTAGCTCAGAGATTGCGATTGAATAAGAAACGGAATACGAACTTTTCATTTCACAATAGCTCACAGAATTTAGATTATGTTTGCGGAAGAACGACTGAGGGCACCAGATGAGAAGTTCTTCCTTTAACCTAGGTCTCACTAAACCATTCTTGGATCACCCAGGAGCGTGAAATATGCTGATGGGATCTTGGAACAGTTTATCACTCCCAAGGAAGCATTTTCTGGATTATAGATATTAGGGCTGTTTAGAATATTATGATATTGCTGTGCATTATGTGTTATGTTGTAGTGCAAGTTATCCCAGGACCATGTAGAGATATCACAACGTACCTTTCCTACGTAACCATAGGACTATAACTTATTTTACGTGCATTTCTCAAACATAAAAATATCCAGTAAGACGCATAATGTCAATGCAGAATAGTTCAGAGAAAAGGACTGTTCTCTTCAGTCTTGTGATCTCTTTTATTACTGTTATCTTCTCAATACATAACACGTGTTGAATGCATTACATGGTTTTGAAAGAGCCGCCCTGCTGTGGATAATCGCAAAAAAAAAAAAAAAAAAAAAAAAGAAAAAAAAGAAAAAACATGTAATTCCTTGATAGTTGTGGTTGACACTTGGTCATGAATTTGTGTACTTGTTTCGGAGGTTATTCGGGATACCATTCCTTGTGCTTTCGGCCTCAGTTTCAAAACCCGTTTTCTTTATTGGTTAACTTAAAATTACTTCTATTGGTCGGTTTTAAAAATGACGTCTTATCTTGTTTTGTTTACGTTACCATAGCAGTAACATAGTAATACACAGCTTTTGTGCACACAAAGGCCGAGTTCAAATATAATGGTGTTTGGATGGCACTAGAATGTCCATATACAACTTTCAGAATATTGTATGCTTTCATCCCTGCGAAACACTGCATACCTGTATACTTTATATGTTTATCTAGTTTCGGCTGTAATGTTAAGTCGGTATATGACGCGACAATTTGCAGAGATATGCTTGATTCATATTTTAACACTCCGTCGGGCGCGTTGATAAGCAATGCATTTTTGAGGGAAGCAAATATGCTTAATAAGGTATCATTAATTGAAAGAAGAAATTTCATTTTTAAAGTTGTTTTTACAGCCCTATGTTTCGTCGAAAAGACAAACTATGTGTTGAAATAAAACAGTGAATTATGACTTCAGCCATATAATTCAGTTTCAGATTTATCTGAAAATTTTTAATAATTAAATTAATAATGCATGGCAACATGGAATCTTTTGTAATTAATTTAATGCATATTTTATGTATCGATTAATTTTTATGTTTGCAGTACAAGAAAATGAAATTTGAGTTTAACAAAATTTGAAAGCGTTTTCCATAAAATGCTCTACTTTATTTCTGTAAACGGATTCACAGAATCAATGTTTGAATAAATAAA